GTCTTCCTCCCATCTTCCCTCCCTCCCTCCTCCCTCTTCGCAAGTTCGACTCCCTCCTGTCGTCGCTCTTTGGCATGCGGTTAGCGTTGCGTATCTTGCGGCCGCACTCGCTCACTCTCACTCTCTCACTGTCTCACTGTCTCTCTCATCTCTCTCATCTCTCTCATCTCTCTCATCTCTTTCTCATCTCTCTCATCTCTCTCTCCTCTCTCTCTCTCTCTCTCCTCTCTGTCTCTCGTCTTTCCGTCTCTCTTCTCTCTCTTCTCTCGCAGGAGGATCCGGGCAAAGAGCCACATATAAAGGACTCTTCACCCCTGCCTCCAAAAAGAGCGCCGTGTTTTTTCCTACCTCGCTGCCCTCCACTTTCCCATTCTGGAGCGCTAGCTTTCGCCCCCCCCTTGGCCTCAAGTTTCTTTTTGGTTTTTCGATCGGTTTCTGTCCTGGATCGACGTGCCACGATCGATGCGGCACGGTCGTCCCGGCGCGGGTCGCAAGGCGCCGGCGGCGGCGCTGCCTCAGCGGCAGCTGGACTGGGGAAGAGAGTGAGATGGGGCCCAGTCCAATTCCTGACCAAATCCCAAAGAAATCCAAGAACCGTGTGAAAAAAGGCCATGGGATTTTGCACTTTTTTGACGTGTTTGTTGGACATGTTAGGGGTGAAGACCCAGCAGCATGCTCATGTACATCGTTTGGAGTACACCAAGGTAGGTTCACAGAGCTACTTTGCCGGGACCTTAAGCTTTCAGCTCTAGAGATGCCTCATTTGATTCTAATTTTTGGAGGATCACATCCAGCCCAGCACACACAAAATTGCATCCACCGAACTTCGGTTTCGAAATCTGATGGCTCCGGGCCAAAAATAGGCCCTGCAAAGGACTCGATGACTCCATTGTCGCATGACTACATGGGAAGTCTGAACTTCTGGCAAAGCCTTTGGTGCAGAAAATAGGACGGTTTATGAGAGGTTCATAGAATTACTGTAGACGATAACTCGAGTCACAAGCAATCTCTCTAAATGACGTGTATTCCAGTTCCTGGCAAATTCTCTAAAGAATTGCCCTAGCCTACATCACCTGCACTTGAGTGTTTCGCCAGGAATCCCACGGCACGCAGGCGCATTCGCCGGTGCGCACCAAGCTCGCTCGCTGAGTCGCCGTTCACCGAGTCACTGAGTCGTCCAGGACCCCCAGCAGGTGCAAGGCTTGCTGGTGCAGGTGCAGCGAGAGCTGACACAGCTGGAGGACTTGCAGTTGGGAGGCCCAGCGCTCCTAGCGCTCTGAGCGTGACCCGTCCACCGAGGGAGGCTCGAGCTCTCTCTCCACCGAAGTTTGACCGGAACTTTCGGTCGACCTGGTTTGTTCGTGGATGGAACATTCGTGGAAGTCACAGGCTGAAAGGTGGGATTCTCATCCGTTGGGCCTTTGGGAGACCCCTGATGATCGAGTTAGGCCTCCAGGTGAGGTGGTTGGGTTTGGTCTACCACTTAGCTTCCAACTCCCAGTTCAGGGCCAGGCGAGAATCCTCATAGGCCGACTCAGCTTGTGAGTGACACCGATCTTTGTTGGCAGATAGACTGCCAGGACAAAGGGACAAAGGACCTCCTGATGCTTTGGATAATCTCTCTTGACCCATGGATGTCCAACCATGGCAATGGGGGCAACTATGGGTTTGTTATTGAAGCGTAACCTTCGGATTGGGTCTACTTTTTCTTATTCCGGACATCCGATGGAACAGGTAGCCAGCTCCCTGATCTGGCTACCCGGTGAACAACCAGGAACCTTTTTGGTATTCACAGCAGAGCGGATCGACGTGTCCTGTTCCGCCAAGCCTTTTTGGGAGATATGGCTTGGGATTGACCGGATTGACCCTTTTGTGAGGCACCCAGTACTGTAGATGGACACAAGGTCTCCCAAAGTCCGAGTGCTGAGGAAGCAGCAGGAGCTCTCAGATTTGCAGAAGCAGCACTTTCAACAGTTCTTGTACATGCAGCAGCAGCTCTTACAGCTCTCTGGCATTCCAAAATTGGTGCAGCAGGGCAACAGGAGATCGTAGGACATAATCAATAAATCAGGGCAACAGCACGAGATCAGGGGACCTTTGAATCACTTTTTAAATACTTTTTGATGTCTTTTGCTCTCTGTACAGAAATCGGGATATATATTTATATATATATATTATTATACATATTTACACACACTGTGTATATATATATATATACTGTGTCTCTCTCTCTCTCTATTATATATATATATCTCAGGTCGTTTTGACTCCAGGGCACGACCAGATGGATGCTCGGTTCCCCCCTTCATCTGTCGAAGATCCACCGTGCATAGAGATCAATGAATTGGTTGACGGGAACATTTACAGGACACCCGCACCGGGGCGTGAAGGACTGGCACTGCGGGTTTTGCGCTGAACACGATGAACACCAGGTCCGGCGGTCTTTTCGGTACCAAAGTCATCAGACCCGGCTTTGGATCAGTTGAACCGAAGACTTTCACGGAACAAGAAGGATTTGAAGGCCTCTCACAGTCCTTGTGTGTGTGTGGTTTTCCCCTTCCTTCTCCCGCAGTTTACAACCCATGGTGGTTGCCAGCGGCCCTGCCTCTCGCGACTGGCCGCATGCACTGAGGGTGCAGCAGACTCAAAGAGCAGCATCGCCTCAGGCTCTGGACAGATGGTATATGATGGTAGCGTGGTAGCCCTTGTTGAATACGAGGGAAACGCATGAAGCACATGGAAGTGGAGAGATTACGACTGAAACCGCGTAGCAGCTCAGCAGCTTCAGCTTCAAGACCCCACCAGGACTCGAATATCTCAAAAACAGCATGTCCCTGTAGGCCCTACGCCATGAGGAGGATATATTATTGTGTACAAATACGTATATATATATATATGTATCATATATCCACTAATATCCACTTAGTTTTTTGGAGATTGTCATTCCTGGTTGTGGAGGAAATGCCCACGTGGTTGGTGCAACATGGTGCAACATGTTATTTGTTCGTGGCTTTACAACATATGCTCACTGCATGAGGAGGCATGATTCCGTTGGACGGTACTGTTTTGCAAGGGCATATACAACATGGTTTGGTATGAGCAGTCAAACGGGTTACGCAAAGGAATCGGGTGCGACACGCAAACGTGACACCTCAACACCGGGACCTGCACGCTCTACGCCGACCCCAAACAGAGCTGTTTCGGGCTTTGACATGGGCCGAGACTTCGAAAGACCATCGACAGGTCTATAGTACTTGTCCGACAAGTCCTCTCAGGTGGATCAGCTCGTCATTCTCCTTTCTTGGAACCCTTCCCGAAAACCCACGTGGGGAAACTCCGCCAGCCCTCCCTCCTCAGCGCAAACCCCGCCAGGCCGAACGCGGAGCGGATCCAACACCCCAAGCGGACTCAAAGCCCAGTCCGGCGAGGGAGGAGGGGGCGCTCTGCCGGGATCATGATTTGAACCGGTCTTGGTTGGTGTGCCAGAGGCCTATGGTTCGTTGCTAAGAGTGGTCTATTTCTGTGTGTCCAACAGAAAACACCGGAAGGCAGCTGGGGAGCTAGATCCCATTCTAAGCCACACATGAATGGGGGTAGACTCTGTAGAACCCGAAAAAGACCTGAAACATCCTGAAACAACTTTTGGGGATATCAAACCATTGTGCGTTTGACCCGGTTCCATGACGTCATCCCTCTCTTGATGGGGTGTTTTTAAGGCCTGAAGCCGGCCTTCATGTTGCCTCAGTCCCATGGCCTTCAGGGGCCTCAAGATGAAGGGGAATGACTCAAGTACCAACCATGCCCTGCTCATCAGACACAGCCGTGCCGCCGCAGGAGCCACGCTCGATCCCGAATGGGGGCAGTGAAGGAGGGACATGCTTCGTTGCTTCGCTTCGTTTGGATCCGATGAATCGGTCGGATCGAAGCTTTGACGTAGAACCCCGCAAGAGTCCTATGGATAAATATGGATCATAAGGTCTCTTGGTATCTAATCTTACGTAAATCTACCATGCATTTCTAAATGTACATGGAAGTTTCCTCACTCAGGGAGGAGAGTGTCTGTGCGAAGCCGATCTACTCTACCGGTTCGACAGAATGACACGGCTTCGACAGAGATAGAAGCCCCGTGCACATGCAATTATGAAGATCATGAAGCCACAGCAAAGCTAGACCAGAAGCACAGCTAAGCATCGTGCGCCATGCTCAAAGAGAAGAACCTCAACATCCTTCTCAGATGTGTGATGATAGATGTGGACCTATGTTAGGGTAGGGTTTCGGGAAACGATTGGCCCATATTTACACATGGCTTCTCCAATTTTCCTGCTTGCAGCAGCTACGGCCAGCGGTTCACGTGCTCCCTTGCAGCTTCTGCGGTGACGACGATCGGAGAAATCAATCTCTCGGATGGGCCCAACCCGAAACTCATCGGCCCATCGGTGCGGCGGAACTCGGCGCGGCAAGCTGGAAAAGAAGATTTCGACCCAATCGAATCCATCAAATCCTCAAATTCAACACCTGGTTGTTGTACAAAACATAAGATGTGGGATTCGTCTCATGCTATGTTCCAGGCTCACTTCTGATGTTCTCCGTGGTCTTCCATCCGTGATTTACCCGTGATCATGGGACCTTGGAGGTGGCGTTTCGCCCGTGGAGCGCGGCGGTTCTTTTTCGCTTCGTCGGTCGTTTCGCCTCCCCCAACTTGTCGCGCAACGTGTCCGGACGTTGCGCGGAACTCCATTTCCATCGGAGCTCTGCGCCTCGCCGCTGCGCCGCTTCCGCGGTTTTTCTCCAGGCGCCTCGCCGCCTGCCGCTGGCGGCACCGGGTCCGGAGGACCTGCCTCGGGTCTTCCGGTGAGGTGCGGTGGGCGATGGGAGGAACGAGATGATCGTGGTTTCTACTTTGGGTCAATACTTTTTTTGTCGCCAAGAGACTACCTATAGACTTTCCACTTACAGGAGAAGGTGCATAGATTCGACTTTTCCATAAGGTTTCATTGCTTCCACTCGGATCTTCTTTTCTTTGTTGGTCATGTCTTGTTCTGTGCAAATTATTTAGAGCGACCCCAGCTGAGGCAACGAATTAGCAAGGTCAGCGGCGTTTTCAGAATTAAGACTGCAGTGTGGTGTTGAAACCTTTTGGTGGTCGAAAAAGCTTTTCAAGCTCCAGACATTTTCTTTTGGGTTGTGGACAGTTCAAAGAAGCAGCCATTACTAACCTTTCGAGATCGCGATCATCAGTGTCCGTGTCCTCATCTCCTCCCATGCTCATGTGGAGCTGCGAGACCTGATTGAGAGGAACATCGATGCCTGCTCAGGTGTGAGGCGACACAATCAGTGCACGCACCAGTGGGCAGCACTTCGTTGTGGTGGTCATTGCGACCATTGTCTTCCAAGCCCATCCTGGAAAGAGTACTTTTAGGATGCCGAAAGGCTAAACGTGATACGACTCTTCTTTGCGCTCCCCTTTAGCCAAAGCCAAGTGCACTGACACAAGTGCATCTCAGCACTCAAGTGACAACCGCAAGCCTTCGAGCCTCTCTGCTCCACGCCTTTGAGCCTGTCTCACACAGCCTCCAGGCATCGTCGGCCATGAGCAAAACACCTTTTATATTGAGCAATCTTGTTTTTTGACCCTGGCGGGCCCCTGCATCATGAACCACTATGAACTGCTCCTGGCTCATCTTCCCACCACACACTCTGCTTCAAAGCAAGCCATGCTCCGCCACAGCCAGCTGCATCTCCAAGTGCCAGGCATACCCATACTGCCTCATCTTGCCCAGAACTTGCAATAATCTCATAACGTACTTTGCACAGACATTTACTGACAAGAACCGTTTCGCAACACGTGATCTACCCGCTTATCGTTCTGAGGCGGTTTACCCGTGGACGAGTTTGGTCCATGTGTTCTTAGCATCAAAAAGACCGTTCATCTACCCTTTCGTAGTCCCTTCGAGCCGCGGAACCGCCGCAGTCCCTTCGAGCTGCCAGCGGCTGCGAAGGTGCGACACGTCCGCCTCGCGGGACCGCGTGCGACGTGGACGCAGGGTGGGAACAGTCTGATCGAAACCCACCGTGCGACAGTCCTTTTCGTAAGACTGCATCTCTTCCTAACGAGGTATTCTTAGAATCTATTCTGATATTTTTTTGGCACCAATGAAACATCTTGCTAGTGGGATTGGTGGAGGTTTGTCAGTCCCACCATTCACTGCCATTCAATATTGCTGAAACCAGCCCGTGAAAAACAACTTTATATAAATATTGGCCTGTGCAAGCTCGCATTGTTTTGGGTCTAGGTTTTAGCAGGGGGTCAGCCACATGGCGAAGTCTTGTCACAGCTTGTAAACACGCTTTTGTGGACTAAACTCAACCCTCAAAAAGACATGTTGACCGCCGAAGCATCCCCAGCGTTCGCGAAGGCTGCGGCTGCCCGACTGGAGCATTCACCCTTCGACATGCTGGCTCCGGGAATCATCTACGAGACCTCTGTGCGGTTCTCCAGTCTTTGTGGGATGGGGGAAGTGCGTGGCTAGGCTAGGTGGCAAATCCCATGGGCAACAGGCTGAATGAAAAATTATGCGGAACAATTTGCAACAGGTTTTTGTGACCCGCACCGGCTCTGGATATGTCTCAAAACTAGGGGAATTCCATCACTGTTCAACAGGGAGAATTGACCAGTTCACGAATTCATACGAATTCCCAATTCCAAAGAGCCTTTCACTGTTGAACAAAGACTTCTCCAGAAGGCCGTCACCAACAGCAGTATGGAAGATACAACAACTGCCATATGTTCTTTGAAGTGTAGGAAGACTAGTTTGGCATGCTTGTCTCATAGAGGAGTGTTTCTTTTGAAGATACCGCCCCACGCCGACCGCCTACAACCCGGTCCCGGTGGTCGTCTTCACGCTTTGCCCGCCTCGTCTTCCAATCACTGAGGTCTCCTGACTTCCACCGCCGTCTCCGCGGCGGGGACGCGGCGCGACGCCCGGGGAAAACAAGCATCGGGGCAGCCGGTTGTGCATGGGAGCGCGAGATGGTGAGATGATGAGAAGGGGTGGATGATTTGGCGATGCCCCAAGTGGCACCTTCCATGTTGGATTTCTCGGAATCCCTTGCAGTGGTTTACTTGGTTTACGCATGTTCAAGGTACTCTGAGAATATCTTGTCAAGAACAGGAGCATGGTTCTGCTTTATGGAAGAACATAAGCAAGCCTCTCATCAACCACACCTCAAGACATTTGATTGTCAAGTCGATTGGTTGAGAATTCTCAGACTGTGCAGCACCGAACATGGCTAGGACTATATAGATGGATATCTCCGCAGAAGGTCCTTCCGGGGTACGATGCGGTTTTGTTTGGTGACGGTGAGAGAATGGATAGGATGGATTTGAAAGTTGGCATGAACATGTGGACCGAAACGAGCGGCATTCTTTGGGTCAACTTTGAACTGGCAGGCTTGTTTTGAAAGACCGTGGATGGTTTTGCTTCCTCTACGATGTGTGGAATTGCTTACAGTAAACCTGATGACAGAGCTAGGATTTGACCTCAGACAAGGCTAGGGGGGCTCCAAGCCACTAGACAAGACTCCAAGAACAGATGGCCGATAGACCAGTACCTTTTTGGCCCAGACTTCGTGACATGCAGGGCAGACTCTGTCTTCTTGTTGGAGCGACGGACCTTCTCAAACCTCATACCTCTTCCAAGTGATGCGTTCACAAGCTTCGAGATGAATTCCACCGGACACCGAAGCTCGAGACTCAATCCCGATGAACACGAAGCTCCAAACACCGGTTTCACCGGATGGTCCGACCGAAGCTTCTTCTTGTGGATCACGCCTGAAAACCATCTCTTTAGAATGACCACCTCATCAGTCCGGTTCAAGCTCAGTGACTTCATCGTACCTGTGCATGCTGCATGCTGATTGGGGTACAAGTACAATCTACAATCTACAGTAATCAGATATAATCAGTCAATCAATATAGTTTCAACTTCAGGCTGTAGGCTGTAATTAGCTGTTAAATCGATTTTAGTTGCTGCGGCTGTACGTCCTTCTGTGGAAGGATTAGGTTCAGAGTGCCAGCAGACGTCTCGAAGGATGTCCGGAGAAGCTCAGAGGCCGGGACTGTTGCGAGCCGCTCCAGCTCGCTTTCCTGGGCAAAGTCAAATCAACTTCATGGAAAAACACAGGCACGGTCTTTCAATCCCCCAAAGGTGTTCTTTTTTTTTTGAGACTCCCTGTCCAAAATGGACATTTCTATAAGATTCTATATGGCTTTGGTGCCATTCCCGACGCGCTCGGAGCGGCGTTGTCGCGCTGTGGGCTTTGTGACGGAAGCCGTTGTCGCGCTCGCGCTCGGGCTGCACGGACGGGGACGGTCTGGGGCGGTCACCGGAGGTCTGGGGAGGTCTGTTGATGAAGAGATCCGGGAGCTCAAGGGTCGGTGGGTCGTGTGTTTGGGTCGAAAAAACCGGTGGGTCCGAAAGGTCCTCCAAAATCGACCTCTCGATTTAATCAAACTCCCCTCCTGAGAGCCAAGTTCCAATTGTTGGATTTCGAGAGGTATACGTGCAGCGTGTCAGCCCTCATGAACGGGGGTTCCTGATTCTCATGTACAAACAATGTGTTTCCCCTGTAGCTCTGAGCTCAGTCTCTCAAATTTCCAGGATGCCTCCGCTACAGGATGAGAAGGCGTTGAGACGGGCGAGTTTTCACAGACGTGAGAAGCTCATCATGACAATATGTTTGCTCAAAGATAGGTAGTTCACACAGTCACACAGTTCAGGATTGGTTTCATAGAGTAGTCCCAAACGTGAACAACGTGACTCCCGCGATTGGGGTGATTTCACCGCAGAGAACACGTCTGTGAACTGAGAGGATTCCTCAAATGGCTTGGTCACCAACATATTTCTTTTTTCCGAACAGGAGAACTCGTATTTACTTGGACACAACATACCGTCGACATGACCCGCACCCCTTACTGTTGGAGCACGCGACGAGATCTTGTACCTTTCGGCTTCCAACCTACTAGTGATTGCATTTTTACTTGCAGAAGGGGGGCTCCCCTAGCTCAGGTGGCGGGGAGGGGGCTTGTGTGATGGCTTCCAACCTAAGAGCGATGGCCTCCAACCTCATAGACTCATAGCCTTGAATGGTTTTTGCGCCCCCGCTTGCGCCCCCACTCTCCAGGCGAAGTCGCCGAACTCTCTGGAGGAGCTGGGGTCGAAGTTGCTCGGCATTGCACACAGTGAATCGGACGCAAAGTCTAAGCCTCTAAGCTCCGAAAGCAGGGAGTTGCATGCCACTTACTGCGGGGTCATGAATATCAACTACTCGATAGCTTTCCATCTAAAAGAATCAGCGCAGCAGGACAACAGCAGTTCCGGTGCATCCAAGTTGCCACTATGCAATATATAGAGAAGGGAAGGGAACTACAAGTTGCCCAGTTTTACTCTCTATTGGCCCTTTGGAACTCCTTAATGCCACTCCATGGTTGCCCCATCCATCATCATGGTGCCATGCCACTCTCTGTGACCGTCCTCGGACTCTGCAGACGGCACACCGGTCTCCGGGGGGAAACGCGTTTGAACGAACGTGTTCCGCTCAGGTGCTCAGCGGAGTTCCACCGTGAGATCTATCAGCCGCTGCTGGACCGGCTCGTGGCGCTGGCCCAACCCGGACCGGCGCGGATGTTCGTGCGGAGATCATCCAAAGTGGATGGGAAAGTTCATCCAGGGAAGTAGACGGTTGATTGACAAAATCACACCAGGCCCCAAGATGTAAAACCATTCTGGTGGGGGGGTTTATGAATCAACAGTCTACGTTATGGGAACTACATGGCCTTCTCTTCAGTCAGTATGAGTATGACTCCTCTGTTTCAGCGAATCGACGATCTTTCTACAGAAAGCGGAGGGGCGTCGAAGGTAAGCTGTGACGTGGAAGCCAAGTGATCTGTGCTTTCTCATTGAAGAGTCACAGTCATGACTAGTCTTGAAATGCTCAGAAATCCTCCTTGGATGCGTGGAAATCCTGGATTCCTCCAAAACGTAGGTCCGATCTCCACCGGTCTCCACCCGGCACTGGTTTTCAACTGCAGCTGCAAGCCACTCGTTAGCAGCAATCGATCAGAGAAAGTGAGATGGCACTCAGACTGCAGTTTCGTGTGGCCAAAGCTGACTGCGTTTCGAGTGGAAGCTGACTGGAGACACTCACGGCCATGCGCTCAAAAAAAAGCGCCAAAGGGAGCCGAGCCGCCTGTCGAGTGCAAAAGGTTTCGATGGGAGGGGAGGGTCACAGAGGCGGGACCGGTCTATGAGAGATTCAGGATAGGGAAGGGGGCATGCGCCGGACTACAAAGCTTTTCAACCAGCCCCGGACTACATGGAAGTTAGGACAATGATGTGGGACCTCGAATGAAAAGGCATACTGCGGGTGCGAGATTAGCTGATGGTACTTCAGCATGCCAGCCCACAAGGTTTCAGCTTTTGCCGCGAGACTCTAAGCCTGCTTTTGCCGGCGCTTTTCCAAATGGGACTCACCCTAGCAATACCGTGGCAGTTGAAGATGAGATTCTTTGGATCAACACAGAATGGCAATTCACTAATTTTGTGTTGATCCAAAGAATCTAATCTTCATCTGCCACGGTATTGCTAGAATGTCCCATCACCAACAACAGTCAGTAAAAGAGGATCAATGGTCACTGTTTTGAGAAAGGCCTTTACTAACCATCATCATCCACGGGTAATGGGATATATACCAAAGTTTTTGCCAACAATTGACTGAGGAGGTGGAACTATTGCACCATGCCGACCTTGTCAGCTGTGCCAACTTACGCTTAGAGCTGAAAATGGACTGTTCAGCCTTGTTCAGCTGAGTATTTGGACTGCAAACAAAGAATGGACAGGATGATGCTTAAAGATCAGAAATCCGAGACGATCTGGAGGAAAGGCAGGTGAACAGCTCTTCTTCACAAGACCAAGTTGTGTTCAGTTCACATCCAAAAACCAACAGGATGAGGATCTGCCAGACAGAATCTGCAGACCCTCCGGGTCAGTCCACCATTCACAGTCTGATCCGTGGACCCTGATTCCCATGGCCGGTGGCACCTCTGATTGGCCAAGCCGAGGGTGGCAGGCGCCAGGGCATCGCGAGGGCATCGAAAGGAGGTGAAACTTGTTCGCTCGGTGGCGGGCCACGGGCATCCCAAATTGAAAGAGTTGGTTCTGCGACTGGTACGCTGAGGTCAACGCCCCCCAACACCCTCAAAAGAGTACGATGATGTCCCACACAAGTTAGACCAAGAACATTCTCTTACAGGCTCACATCCTTGACGAGTTGTAGTAAGTCGTTTCCGTCCCCGCATGCTCATGACTCGGGTTCTTTGGACATGACTCGGTATCATTCCACCAGCTCTGTGGGTTTGCCTCCCTGTCTCCGAATCTGAATTGAGGCAGGTCCAAGAACTTGTCTCTCTCACCAAGTTCTCCCCAGTTCAGAAGCCCAGTGCGCTCCCAGGTGAACTCGGATGCTGGCACCTTGCAGGGCTGGGGCTCCCTGGCCACTCCAGAACCGGCGCCTGAGCTGACGCCCGGGCAACAGGCGCATGCTGCCGCAGCTGAAGCCTTCGAACGGGCTGCAGCGGCGGCGACGCCGGAGTCTTACCATCCCAAAGGCGAAACCGAGGAAGCTGACGAGGCGGAAGAGGATCCCAAGATCGATATCGAAGCGTTGCAGGCGGGGATTCAAAGAGTGGGGAGAAGAGTGGGGCAATTTGTTGGGGCAGGGCGGTCAACTCCAACCTTTTCCCGCGGGCTAGTCGGCGCAGAACCAACGGTTGGAACCAAAGGATGGTCTTTTGTTTTCGCCCAAAAAACGCACAAACTCTGCTCAATCTCAATCTCTTCTCAGGCACTTCTGCGCGACAACGCTGCCTTCTTTGAGGCGACGAGATTCAGATGATAAGACGTCAGAGGGGGGGTTCCCTCGACCATCTAGAGGAGACCTTCAGGCGGATTTCAGGAGGATTTAGGAGCGTTCTGATCGGCGACCTGTGCTCACCCCAT